AATGTATCAGTCAACTAATATCCCATCTAGAATCCTGACCCTTGTGTAAAATCAGAAATCCCGCAACTAAATCTATAAAATGCTCTCTCATTTCCACTTTAGTATAAGAAATGGCTGCAAAGGATCTAATGATCTTTGGTGGTCCATCTCTACTATCTAATAAATATTAGACTTGGAGAGAAATCACTATGTCCCTTCTCCTGCCTATCGTGAAGCATCATGTTTCCACCAGGATGAAGAACTAAAAGTCATGAAACTCAGTCCGTGCATCCTCCATCCAATTTGTTTACCGTTAGTCTGGTACCACCAGCTTTTATCTGTACCCAACGTTTAAATTGGAGCATCTTCAAAAGCGAATTTTGTAACTAAATCTATCCATCACTGATCTGTGATAAACTTGTCGATATTGAAAATCAATCAGTAATTCCATTTATCAATAGTCAACTATGACTTTAACTCAACAAAAATCAACAAACTATGACCTTTCCATACATACCATGCACCTCATCTTTATATAAATGTTTGGTCTCACCATCTTATCTTTGACACACCCTACTTCTTTAAGACAAGTTAATGACAATCCGACTTCTTTGTCTAACTTCAAAAGAATATGAAATCTTTCCATCCTCTACATAAGTCATCATTTTCCTTGCAACAGTTAATTGTTGCAAATTGTGACTAAAAAAAATAATTCCATATTATTTATGGAAATGAAAAAACATAGTTTCCTCCTCCTTGTGCAACACCGGCAAATTCCTCCTAATGACACACCCTCTTGAATAAATTCTTGATTAAGAATTTACTGATGAATATTTATTCAGTCTCCTATCCTCACTCGGTGTCATTCCAATAAGTACTTAATCCAGTACTAAATCCTCCATCCGACTTGGTAACAACTTCTAAAATTTTCAAGAAGATGTTCAGCAAATCCAGCACCTCTGATAAATCATCATGGCGTTACAGTGATCTTTATTTATCACTACCTCACACATACCGAAACATTAACAATCACCAATATCATGGCGTTGTAATATGATACGAATCCATACCTAACGTAAAGTATATCAAACTAATCGTTCTAGATTGTTTGACTCGTAGTGATGGTTTAATTATCCCATCCCAAAACACACTATAATGACACATGTCCAAGTCCAATAAATTGGCTAGATTTATGTGTATCTACCAAATCCTACGACCGTATGCTCACAAATCTAGCATAAATAGCGCTATGACACCATGTTATTAAAACAATAATTGGCTGATCACACACTTATATCCCCAACTAAATCACATACCAAATCCCGAGTAATTAACAAAAAAAAAATAATAATAATAAAAAAAAACATACGTATGATAAACACAATAAAACAAAATATATTCCTACTTAGGACATCGTTCTTTCTAGAAAAGAAAGTCTCATTTGAAATCAACCTTACTAGATTGTTTCAAAATTTCCTTTTATAGTTTCTTAAATAATTATCCAACCTGAAAACATATCCTTTAAAACATAGCTTAAAAACATAAATGTTTGCCTAAGCAAATAGCAAGGGATTAACCTTCATCCTTCTTATATGCGGAATGTAAACTGTCTAACTTGGTTTTATAAAGTAAATTAGAATGTCACAACATAATACTAATGCCCTCTTGTATGTGATTTAAAAATTATGTATTTCGTTCTGATAAGAACACATTCGATCCCCAAACTCCTGAACAATACTTCTTATATACCTCTTTTAGAGATGATAAGAAAGCTTAATTATTTGTAGATTGATCAACCCCAATTCTACTAATAACATTTGCTATACTATTAGCAATTCAGATCACCTCGCGCGATCACCATCTTCAAGATTTAATACCCTCTCTATTGGATGCACATAAATCTCCTCCATTAGGATCCTCTTCGGCTCCTACTCCTCGCTTGTCTCCTTTTTGAGATCAACTGAAGTTGTGTTGGCCCCGATATGCGGTGACCTATCACGTGCACCTAAATCCTTCCTTAGCTTATACTTTTAAAGTAACGCCAAACAAATCTAAACCATCGATCCCTAACTCTGCCTTCTGGCAACGAAATCGATAACGTACTCCTTTACTCCTTTGGATCTTTATCGCTTTCGCTTTGAACCCATCCTTTTCCTAGTGTCAACCATTCTATAACTACAGAATATAATTGACATCAGCTCCTCCTAACAAACCGTAAATAGAGTATAACAAATCCTAATACGGGCTCTAAGTTTTAAGAGACGCAACGCGGAAGTCACATAATGAAAGACACTCTTAATGACACTTGAACCTAGAGTGCTCTGATACCAACTGTGATACCCCCGGATTTTTGAATGCGAGTTGGTCAGGCCCACGCCCGAATACCCGAGGATATAAAAAATAAATCGACAATAAACGAACACAGAGTACAAAAGAATAAAGAAGAATAAATAAAATGCTGACAAGAAACTAAAATGATAATCTAATAATAAACCTCAGAATATATTTCCATTAATTTATAAACTTTTCTGATACAACTGATCCTCCAAAATACAACTCAGGAATCCATACTGTGTGGACCCCTAGAAAATTTAAACTAAACAAATGACAACAATAACTGTCTAAATCAGGAAACTGAATCATAAAGGGACTCCTATGTAGCATTGGAAGAATGAAGTAGACTGATCCCTGCTTAGCACGAATAACCTCTACTCCTGACGAACACTTGAAAAATAATGGTGGGTCAGGCCCACAAACAAGTTCTACTCTACTACAGTCCAAGTAGAGATCCGATACACGTATACATCTTAGTCAATTCAACAGTAACTAATAGTCCGTATATATATATATATACACACTAAAGGAACCTCACTAGACTATAGGGTTGTCTCAACCTGAATAGTAGGCAACATGCAAAACGCACATATAGTGGGCATGAGTACCTATACCTACTAGGGTACACAACTACACTATATCTAGCTACATATCCCTGGCGATATAAACGCCCTAACCACTGATCCTGAGACTCAAACTCATATCATGGCACCATACTTATATATATAAAATTTAGTAATCATCCTATCCAGTATAAATTAATCCTCCATAAGTCATTCAACTTGTTCAGCTGACCCGACTTGAATATAAGTAGGACTTAACATTTTAGTTAATCCATTCCCTTATATAATAAATTAATCCTCCATAAGTCATTCAACTTGTTCAGCTGACCTGACTTGAATATAAATAGGATTTAACATTTTAGTTAATCCATTCCCTTATATAAAATAGGTAGAACTTAACTGATAAGTTAATCCGTCCCTAGAATGCCACCGTCCCATACCGGTGTATTAAACCACGCAATCTAACAATTGATGTAACGATTAAGGAAATACATCAAACAATCCAGAAATAACTATGATAATATGATATCAAGTTATCACAAAATAGGAATGACTTATTATTTATTTAAGCTTCTTATATCATATGTCCTACACAAACTGAATCTTATACATGATGATATTTTATTACACCGTCAAATAAGTATTCTCTGTATCCAATTCATCCTACACATTTAATCTTAATTGCTAAAACATTTTAAAAGATTAAATCCATTCGTTTGTTTAAAACATTCAAATAGCAAGCATCATTATGATTGAGTCTATTTAAATTTATTTAAATCCAAACCTAGTTCCTATTTAATGTTCAGAAATCCTATGCATATTTCTACGTTCCATCATTCCACAGATATGAAAAATACATAATTTAAACATATAAAAATTCACACTGAAAATCAAATCAAAATCATGCATATATCAATTTATAACACAAGAACAGATATGAACCAATTTCATAAAACTTATGTTCTAATCTAATTAAACATGCATAATTACTTAATTTTATGTGTTTAATAAATCCTGAAATTTCCTAGGCATGTACAGAAACACGAATCAAATGGAAAGAGATAGAAGAAGAACTTACCTTAAACTTTCGGATCGAAAGTTAAACTTCTTCTTCCTTGATCTTCTCTCTACAGGGTTTTTCTTCTCCTTCATTTCTTTTCCTCCTTCCCTCTCTAACTCTCCCCTCTCTCTAGAATATATTACGTGAATATTTCTAACCCCCTCTTACAACCTATAGCTATATATTTATAGGATAAATAAAATAACCCTAACCCTTTTCCCAATCCAAGTCAACTTAAAAAATAAAAAATAAAATATTAAAAAGGTAAATAAAATATGTTAAGTATATAATTTATGTAAATCTTTATTAAATAAATAAATTATATACATTCCATTATTTATTAATGGATTATCCAATAATACTTAAGTTACCATAATATTATAAAGTAACTTAAAACATAACAGGTATCAAATCTATGTATATTTTTATTATTTAAATATAAAACATATACATCAGATTAAATATTACTACCCAAGTTACCATAAAAGTAATTAATAAATTACTTTCCCTTATATATATATATATATATATATATATATATATATATATATACATGCACAACTATTTATGGGTAATAATTCATACACATCCAACCTCCTATCCAAGTAGTCCGTAGGACCCAATTGGTTGGCCCATTACTACTAACCATAACCATAAAAGAAAAATAAAATAAAATAATAAAAGAAAAGAAAACATTTAATTTACGATTAATCAAAACACAATTTAAGCACATAATCTAATTAAACAATTAACACATTGAAAAATACAAATAATACATAGACACATAATCAAATAATTAAGTAATACCTAATTCAATTAAACACATAAGAAATTAGTCAAATAATCAATTAAATAATTAATAATACAATTAAAACAAATAAATAAATATCGAGACTATCCTTTTAAAATTAGGGGTATTACACAATTAAACATGTTTGACACAACAAGGAGGTGTAATTTACAATAGAACAAGAAAGGAGTGGATTAAGATGTCCCTACCTCAAAATGAGCAAAATTCCAAAAAATGGGTTATTAAATTCGAGCTCCCAAAGACGACCAAAAGCTAAAATTTTTGGTGCTAGCACGTAGAGCTCGTCGTTTTGCCTCAAAGGACTCTCAAATCTACCAAGGATTGAGAGAGCAATCAAAATTTGAAGTTGTAAAAGAAAAAAAAAAAGAAAAAAGAAAATAAAGAGGAACAGAGAGGCTGCGGGAGAGAAGAAAACAGTGAACAAGAAAAAATGAAAAAAAAAACGTGATCTTATGATCACTTTACAAAAGTTGTGGGTCCCACCTTTTTTTTTTTTCTTTTTTCTTTTCTCTTTTTCTTTATAACTTACAGACATTACAACATTGGCAGCCTTAAATTATGGATGTGGTAATGGCGCCGCGCCCACCATATCCAAGGACTAGAATGACCAGAGTATTCTCAACTTTCTTCTTTAAGGGTCATCAGACATCAAATTAATTTTTTTTTTTTTTTTCTTACCTAAAAAGATAAAAGTAAAAATAAAAAATCTTTATGTTTCTTTACCTGGGAGAGGAAGGAGAGGAGGATCCAATCATCCAAAGTTCATGTGCACAAAAAGTATGTGTAAACGTGTTTCTTGCATGTGATCCAAAAAAAATAAATAAATAAAGAAAGAAAGAAAGAAAGAAAGAAAAGAAAAGAAAAGAAAAGAAAAAAGTAGCATCTGAAAAATCTGCCATAGACTCATAAAAGTCTTTCTTATCTTCTATGTTTTTTTTTTGCCCACCCCCTAATTATAAGAATTATATACGAAAAGCTGTCGGAGACTTTTAAAATCTCTTTATGTTCTGGTATTTTTTTGGCCCACCAACTCTCGACGCGACTTTAAAAATCCAGTACTAGTTGGGCTGCTCTCTCTCTCTCCTTTCCTGTGGGAAATACTCACTTCGATTCTGTCCAGAACAACAACAAAAAAAAAAAAAATCATGTATCTTTGTCATTTTAGAATGATCAGCACCGTCTATCTCATCAATCATCTTTTGTTTAGCGGAGCAGCTGGCTCGCCTGACTCGGTCCAGTATTCCCCAGCAGATGACATCGCTGTTAACTGTGGTTCCTCTAGCAATGCAGCTGCTTTTGATGGCCGGGAATGGATTGGAGATATGGGTTCCAAGTTTACTTTACCAGAAGTGGAAGGCAAATCAGTAAGCTCATCAACAACTGTCCACCAATTACCTTACGCAGATCCTGTTCCCTACATGACGGCTCGGATCTCTCGTGCTCAATTCACATACAAATTTCAACTCGCACCTGGCCAAAAATTCATTCGCCTACACTTTTTTCCAGCTTCATACTCTGGCTTTGAAAGATCAAAGGCCTTTTTCACTGTTAAAGCAGGTCCGTACACCCTCCTCAGAAATTTCAGCACTTCCCTTACTGCTGATGTTTTGGGTGTAAGATATTTTGCAAAAGAATTTTGTGTCAACATTGAAAAAAATCAAGTATTCAGCATAACATTTTCTCCGTCTAAAAATAGTGCAACTGATGATGTTTATGCTTTTATCAACGGGATTGAGATCGTCTCCATGCCCGCCGGTCTTTATTACACTTCCGATGGTGATTTGGGCCCTCGTGTCGTTAACAACAAGTTTTTCCGATACTATATTGATAATGACACTGCACTAGAGACAGTTCACCGCTTAAATGTTGGAGGGAGATCGATTATGTCAGTAGAAGATTTGGGTTTGTTTCGTATGTGGTATGATGACAAGAATTACTTGCTACAATCAAGTCTTTTACGGGTCAGTGCCAGCAATATGATTGCATACACAAACATACCCACATATTCCGCACCACTACAAGTTTATCAAACAGCGTGGTCAATAGGTTCAAACCAACAAATGAACCAAGTGTACAACTTCACATGGAAACTACCAGTAGATTTGGGATTCAGGTATCTGGTTAGGCTCCATTTTTGTGAACTCCAACCCACCATCACTAAGACCGGCCAAAAACAGTTTGGTCTCCTGATAAACAATAACATCATTGAGGCTGATGCAGATGTGATCAAATGGAGCGGTGGAAATGGGATTGCAGTATACAAGGACTACGTGGTCAAGATGGAAGGAGATGGGACAGAGTGCAAGCGTGATCTAATCATAGCTTTGAAGCTCAAGTGTGAGTCAAGCACTGAAAAGGTTGATGCAATCCTCAAAGGCATAGAGATATTTAAGTTGGGAAATCTTGACAATAATCTTGCCGGATGTAATCTTGTTTTCACAGCACATGATCCGATATCAAGGATTCCAAGACTTCGAAAATTAGCTTTGGCTTTTGGCAGTACAAATATTATTGCAACAGGTATAATTCTTGTACTCACAATATTGAATTTCATTTTTTACCATTTAAATAGTTTGGAATCAAACTCTAGCAAAAAAAACATCTCATCGTCATTGGATGAGGAGTTGCACCGATGCTTCTCACTTGCTGAGATCCAGTTGGCCACAAACAACTTTGATGATGGACTAGTCATCGGTAAAGGTGGATTTGGTAATGTGTACAAAGGGCTCATCGACACGACCAAGTGTGTTGCCATAAAACGGTGGAATTCGCAATCCAAACAAGGGGCTCACGAGTTTTGGGCTGAGATCAGCATCCTTTCAAAGCTTCGGCACAATCATCTTGTCTCTTTGATTGGCTACTGTGATGATTCTGAGGAGATGATCCTAGTTTACGAGTACATGGCTCGAGGGACCCTTAGTGACCATCTCCACAAAGCTAGGAGAAATGGTACTGGTAATTCTCCTCTTTCCTGGGAACGCCGACTCAACATTTGTATTGGTGCTGCACGGGGGTTGGACTTCCTGCATACGAGTAGTAGTGCCCGCCGTGGAATCATACATCGAGATGTGAAGAGCCCAAACATTTTGCTGGATGAAAATTGGGTAGCTAAGATTTCGGATTTTGGATTGTCGAAAATGGACACTGCAAACATATCGCGCACCCACATTAGCACTAACGTTAAAGGCACAATTGGGTATATTGATTTGGATTATTTCATGACTCAAAGAGTGAGTAAGAGATCAGACGTTTTCGCGTTTGGTGTGGTTTTGTTCGAAGTATTGTGTGGGAGGCAGGCTGTTGACTCAACACTTGAGGAGGAGCAGCATAGTCTAGTCCTATGGGCCCGACAGTGCATTCGAAAAGGAACAATTGATCAACTCGTTGATCCCAATGTGAAGGAGCAAATCTCACCTCATTGTTTAAGAGGGTTTGTGGAAATTGCCAACAAATGCTTGCATGATCAACCAAATGAACGGCCTACAATGGCTGAAATAGTGGCGAGACTCAATTTAATTACATTGGAATTGGAAGGAAGGGCTGACTCTTATACCGAGCAAGAGGTTATCAATGTTGATGGGGCTTGCAAGCATGATTTTGAATCGAGTACTACATCGGAGGATTCTTCTCCGGTGTCTTGCCATTACAGTATACCTCTTGTGGAAGTAACAAATGATATCAGGGTGGAGAGTATTTTACCTGGAACAACGAAAATTATGAAAGTTGGGAAAAAGAAACATGATGGTTTTAATCTTGGATGGGGGTTGGGTAGGCGGTGGGGCTCACTTTTACCGTTCCATAAATCTTCAAAGAAAAAAGCTTATCGGCTGCCAGAAGTACTTTGTCGTCGCTTTTCACTGGCAGAGATTCGAGCCTCCACGAACCGTTTTGATGATCGCCACCTAATCAGAGGAAGTGATCGTAGTAAGGTTTATGCGGGTTATATACAAAATAAGACCATGGTTGCTTTCGAGCGGTTCAACAAAGATTATTCTTGTGATTGGTTTTGCTCGGAGTTGGAGGTGCAGTCCCAGCTTCAATGCATGAACGTGGTGTCCTTGGTTGGGTACTGCTATGATAGGCATGAAATGATCTTGGTGCATGAATACATGGCCAATGGAAGCCTATCCGATCTTCTTCACAATACCAGCAATAATAATCCTCTGTCATGGAAGCAGAGACTCCAAATCTGTATTGGTGCTGCACGAGGACTGAACTATCTTCATACAGGAGTGGAGAAGAAGGCAATTTTCCATGGTGACGTGAAGTCTTCCAACATTCTCTTGGATCAAAGCGGCGTTGCAAAGATTGCAAATATCGATTTACACTTTTTGCTTCGCTCCAACAATCAGAGATTCCTCACCACAGTGGTTGCAGGCACACTTGGCTATCTAGATCCAGAGTTTTTTCATACATCTGAATTAACTCGAAAATCTGATGTTTACTCATTTGGCGTGCTGTTGCTTGAAGTGTTGTCTGGGAGGCAAGCAATATCGGAAAACCAGCGGCTTCTATGCACGTGGGCCAGAAATTGCATAGACGAAGGGTCAGTTGAAGAGATTATTGATCCATATCTGATGGGGAAGATATCGCGTCTTTCTTTGAACATGTTTGTGAAATTTGCTAGAAAGTGCTTGTCTCTCAGAGGGACGGAACGCCCTTTAATGAGTGATGTTGTGAGCACACTTGAGCTCGCTCTGCAATTGCAGGAAACTGCTGATGCCCGATTGGAGAATGTGGTGAATAAAATGGTTGAGCCTCCCAATTACAAGAAAAGAAGAGACTCCTTTTAAGGTTAGTGATAGTTATCAACTGTTATAGTACAAATGTCAACTACTCTCTTCCTTTATATTTTTCAATCTAAACAATTTATGTCTGTTATTTTATTTGATTTGTCATTACAATAATGCTAAAGACTGCTCATCAATCTACTCCTTCCGAGCTCTTCCTTTATATTTTTCAACCTAAACAATTTATGTCTGTTATTTTATTTTATTTTTATTACAATAATACTAAAGATTGTTCATCAATCTACTCCTTCCGAGTTCTTATCAGCACTACATAAATATATATATATATATATTTTTAACTTGTCATTACACACTAATACTAAACACACTTAATTCTACAATATTGGTTTAAACCTTGCAATAAAAGTATCATAAATTTTCTTTAAACAGATCCTCACAATTCTGACAATAGGTTACACACCAAAAATTTTATGGATTTTCTTAAATATGTGTCTCCTTAATTACAAGTTACGTTTAGCAAATTACATCAAATTTTACCTGTAAGACTAATTATTTTTCATCCATCTTCTCTGCAGGGACTATTAGAAGCAATCAATTATGGTTCACATGAGTTATTCTCATCAGAGTGGCATCCTGATCTTTTTCATCATCTTTGCAAGACAGAGCTCTCTGGCCCAGGTGAATAACTTTTGTTCTTGTAAAACTTAATATAGGTTGGCTTCCATCTTTTAAGATATTTATTTGTATGAATATATATATATAGAGAGAGAGACAGAGATTGTATGTGTGTATGTGTTTTAAAGCTAAATATGTCATCAGCTAAACTTTGATGTTATCAGTTGTACACTACTAGTGTAATTTGGAGAACTTCGATGTTAATTTCTTCAAGAAAAGCACGTGTTGTTCTGTTTTTTTTTTTTTTTTGGTCCTTCTACCAAAAGCAAGCTGTTGTTGTTCTGTCTTTTACATAAGAAATGATTGTGCAGTCGAATAGATGGTGCTTATTGTGAATTGATGTTAATCCTATATGTCATTTGCATGCTATGATGTTTCTGCTTTTAAAGCATATGAAAATGTCTAGACAATTTTGACGCGCCGAAAATCAACAATGCATATTGGCAGCGATTAGCAGAAATTGCAAAACAGAAGTGAAAAGTTACTTTTTTAAATTCGAAACAAAATCTCAACTGAAATAATGTGATACTACTCTTGTTCTTTTTCCTTTCTCGAATAACTTTAACTGTAAATTTTAATTATAGATCCAATTATTGTGTAGTTCTTCCCATGAACTTAGGTTCCTAAATACTCTGGCTCCGAATGTGCAGAAACTTGAAACTTCTGGTCAATTAAGCTCAATCAAGTTGACTATTGCATTGATTTTCTAATGTTACATAATAATAATAAACAACACTATGTTATATACATGTGTCTGTGTATATATATTATATAGTGTACGCACTAATGTAGTGTTGGAAACGAGGGCATTAAAGACATAAACTTTGGATGAGATTTGGAATAGATTTCGCTAAGAATTTTTTGCGGATCTATAGACAAGCGTGTTTTTCTCTGCAAGGAGATGAACGTGGTATATTTACTTTCTTAAATCCGTTTCCGGGTGAATGAGAAATTAGGTCCAAAGTATGGTGTTTTGATAAGCCTAAATGGGCATGCAAAATGTGGGAAGTGTTTGTCCCACATGGAAAAAATGTTGAAACAAATTGAAATTTAAATAAGCTGAGTTTAGGATTTAAGCTTGGGCTTGGGCCTAATTGTAAAGTCCAGATTATTCCTTTTTGGAATTTTGGATTGGGCCTAATTTTGACCTGTACTTATTTAAATGGGTTTCACAAATGGGTGGGTTTTTTGAATTAAAAAAACTACTTTTTAGTTTTTCTAAAAAGTTACACCTTTTAAATTAAAAAACCATATTTTAGTTTTTCTAAAGGGTTATACCTTTTAAATTAAAAAACCACTTTTTAGTTTTTTTCAAAGGGTTACACCTTTTTTCGAACCATCATAACCCATGGTTGCATCCACTCGAAAAGGCACATTGCAACCTATTGGAATGGATGTGTTTATTGGTGAACAGACACCATGTGAACCATTGCAACCTATTGGAATAGATGTATCTAGTGGTGAACAGACAACATGTGAACCATTACAACCTATTGCAATGATTGTGTCCAATAATGAAGAGATACACCCTATCCGAAAAGACATTTCTGTTTCTATAAATACCCCCATTTGGATCATTTGTCTCTAGACTTGAACCCAACCCAAATGGGTTCAAACCATAGGTTAAGTGGTCCGAACCACTTAGACCCTAATTCAATTTTATCGAGCCATATTAAGATTGGTCCGAACCATTTGATTCGAATTGCACCCAATTCAGCATTTATATAGCATAGATGCATTTTTGAGTCAGAGAGAGTATTATACGGAGAAAATTCGCCGTATCTACGAGTTTGTAGTGATGCTACTAGTGGATGTAGACCGTTGTATCCTAGGAGATAGACGCCACTGAGTCCGTTAGCACCATAGCGGGATGAATCTGTCTTAAGGACATAGTACTCAATACTAGCCTCGATCCGGGTTCTTTATTTATAATTATTATTTCATTAATTTATTTTGCATATTTAATTAAATATAGAGTTGCATATTTAATTAATGATTTCTTAACATATTGTTAATTATCTCATGACATATTAGTATAAGGTTTGTTATATCTTAAATGTCACATGAAACATATATTTTATCAACAATCTTAAGACAGATTCATTCCTTGCGTAGATTTTATTATATACTTCTATTTAAGATATAAATAAGTAGATATCATACTAATAGTTGAGATATAATAAAATAATGTTTTATACATTATTATATGGTAATATGCTAAATATTGATGTATTTAATATTATATGAAATTGAAGCATGTTATATAAGTAGGCTATTGAATTATTTACATATATATAATTCAATATTGGTTGAATTATTTTAATTTTGTAATATGATATTATGAAGTATATGACATTACCTTAAACATGTGCCAACTAGAGGTGATAAAAGGTACTTCGTTACTTTTATTAATAGTTGCACAAAATACTGTTATGTATATTTGCTACGAACCAAAGATAAACCTTAGAATGTTTAAACATTACAAAAGTGAGGTTGAGAATTTGTGAATACAAAACATCATGTGCTGATATTTGTTTAGAATATGGTATCATTCACGAAGAAATGATGATAGCTATATTAATAAGTTCTGGTTTAACTCAGAATTTGTGGAGGGAAGTTCTGCTTGTTGCAAATTATTTTACTCAATAAAATACCTCTAAAGAAAATGAATGTGACACCATATGAATTATGGAAAAGTCGAAAACCTTCCTATAAATTCTTAAAAATGTGGGGGTGTCTAACTAAGGTTGTACTTTCTCTTAAGAAAGTTATAGTGAGACCTATAATGTGGCAACCTTGTGGGTGGGTGTGTCATGGGCAGGTGTAAGAGGCACTGACATGTTATTACATTGAGCAAGTTACAGGTGCACAGTCCCACACCACCTACGTAAGGGAAAGGTAAAGTGATTTTATGTAGTGGTGTTATCTCCAATTGGTACGAGACCTTTTGAGATAAAACCCAATAATAAAATCGTGCGGGCTTGATCCCAAAGTGGACAATATCATACTATGTAATGGAGTGGATCGTTATATAAAACCTTTGATAGGTTATAACATCAGTGCATATCATTTTCTTGTAGGCTAGAACGTCTACATATTTTGGTCCTAGTTTTCTAGTATGTTTATTGGAGAATGAGCAACAAATCTTTTTTCTTAAATTAATTATGTGATATAATTAATCATGTGATATAATATGAAACTATATTGTTATGCAAATTCAATATTATTTTTACAAAAGTTTATTATTTGAGATTATAATATTGAGATATGTAGTTGAATTACTTAGTGTACGTAGTAATTTAATTTTACAATATAGCTTATTTAATGTGTGATATTATTAATTTTGTATGAGTTCATGACTGGTTTGTGTATTTAATACAACATACAAAAATTGATTAGTCTAAGTATGTCAATTCTTCCATTAGTCAAGGGAGAAAGATCTATACTAGTGTCTAAGACACGTATAACTGTGAATGGGCTAAATAAGAAAAGATTTTCTGATAACTCTAAAGATTTTAATGGAAAATGTTATGGATATACTAAGCTAGTACACTGAGACAAGCTAAATCAAATTAGTTAACTCTAATGTACAATTTAGCTAAAAGTTAAAATGTTACTGAGTTGCAAACAAGGTAGCTTAGCTATAAGCTAAAATGATTAATGAGGTGCATAGAACTTAAGAGGAAGATGGAAAATCTATTAGTTGGTTCTAGCTCTCAACTTGGTAGTAAAAAACACGAGGGTGATGAGTAGTTATTTTAGGCATAAGCTATTTGAGTTATTCATCATATCTGCTCATGTAGGAGGGAATAATACTACTTGTAAAGTAGTAGTTTTTGAAGAATATTCTTCAAAACAAATTACTCTACTACCAAGGTAGACTACTTAGATTAGTGTGTACTAAAACTATGAACTGCTAGAATTGATAGCTAAACAAACTTAACTTCAAGTTAGCGGTAATAGCTAAAAAGTGGGTGCTCATCATAACCTAGTAGGTAGATATGAGAAGAGTGTACTTAATCTAAGCTAGTAATGATAGTTAAAAACTCACTTTTGACAAGTAATGATAGCTAAGAAGTGAGTGCTCACTCTGTGGTGATTGTATCCAAAGCTTAAATAATAAGATAATTATTTGCTTAAATGATTGAGTTATGTGATGTGTGACACATGAAATGTTATAACATGTTAATATGACTGACTTAATATGAACCTAAACATGAATAACTCAATTTATAAATATAAAAGAAGTAAAAGCAAATATTAATTAGAGCCCATTGTAATTAATATCTTTAGCATTAATTCACGGTAATGTTAGTGAATTATTATAAGAATATGCTAAAGATAAAGTGAGTACATATGCACTAGAGACTGTTATATATGCTTGTTGAAAAACGAATATAGAACCTTGGAAAGGTAGATGAGGTGAAATATTTAATATATGGTATTTCAAGAGTTGAAAAACCATAAGAAATATATCATATATAAAATTTCAGGATTATCCCAAAGTTGTGGAGGGATATTGTCCATAGATAAAATTTGCTATGAGTTACCTCACCAAATAAGAAATACTTATAAATGTAGGTTCTTAATCCTAAGAAATTTTGGATAGAACCAAAAATCATTTATAATATTATAACAATAGTGCATGTTGTTTCCTATGAGGAAAATATTATAGAACAACTAGAAAAGTTCTTTTTCTAGCGGAAGAGCTGAGTTATTTGTTCTAGTTGAAGAGTAAAGTGTGCAAGCTTATAAGTCCTTGAGTGGATTAAAGATAGTACCAAGACAATGACATAAATGTGATGTATAAGTCATTGTATGTCTTAAAAAACATTAATGATATACTAATTAGTATATTTGATATGAAAGATTTAACATCTAATAACATAGTATATTCTCAATAGAGTGAGATTGAGATAATACTAGTTATGATAATAAAAGCCTAGCTAACTTTTGTAGATGTAAATCTCAAATATAAATACTAGCCAAAGTATATCATTAGTTGAGATTGCAAGGCATGGTGCACATTTTCAATCCAGGATCGGATTACTAAAAAACAATAAATTGGGTAGTTGAGATACACCCTAAATTCAATATTACATTGATCGAGGTATCCAACTAAATTGGAGGTAATAGTGATGCAATCTGGATATGGGATATTAAAGACTTCAAATCCAATAGTGGATATGTCTTTTATATTAAAGGTGTAGTTCTATGTTCTTAATATAACTCAACGTTAGAAACTTTGAATAAATCAAATAGGGAAGTCAATAGACTTCACCTAGAGGACAATTCAAAGTAAGTCTACACCTGTGCCACTAAAGAAAATGATATTGCTAACAATAAGCAATTTTAGGGCACAAAGTATACAGTTGCTCTCACCTGGAGAAATCTCTGCAGAGTGTAATGT